TAAGAGTTAAAGCTACTTTTTATAACATAACATTTTGCAAATGGACTGCTATATAAAAACGAAAGCCATATGTTCTTCATTTACATGTATATTTAGAATAACATATACTACCCCAAAATAGACATTAATCGAAACCTCTCGAAGCCCCACAACTGTCATCCTAACTAGTTTTTACAGGCCTATAAAAGTCAGCGGGAAAAAGGTCATGTCAAATGCGTTTATTGATAAAACTAAAAAATAAAGCGACTTCAATTTTTATTGCATACTTTTCGGCGCGTGCTGAAGAGCCCAAAAAATCGTAACGAAAAAGGAATTTTATTACTGTTTTCTTTTTTTTATATGCTCCTCTTCAATTGCGTCGCAGCGCAACGGTTAGGTGCCCTCTCCTTTTCTACCATGCCTCTCTCCATAACATGTGTTAAACGGACAAAATAAATTAACGAGCTGCTCAATAAGCGAGCAGATGGCGTATATGCCATTCCTCCGTTTCGCTCACACATCAAAGTTTGCGCCATTTTTATTTTTGTTTCCTTTTGTGCTGTTTGTCAATCAAAGAACATTTTTCATTTATTTTGCGCGGACGAAAAACTCAATTTAATTGTGAAAAAAAGTTTTTCACGTTTTCATAAATTAAATCTGGGCCAAGTTTTTTCTTGCTTTTGCTCTGCGAGCTTATTAAATTATCCACAAAAGAGAAACAGAGCGTGGGAAAGGGAAGGCGACAAAGCAAAAACTTTTTTAATAGCAGCAAAAGTTAAGCGCAGCGAAAAGCCAGAAGGCGATAGAGCACAGAGTAAACTGAGAGAGAGAAGAAAAAGAGGAAGAAGAAGCAGAGCGAGCAATTGGATCGTATTGAGAAAGTCTTGTGAGCGTGACCTGCATAACAGAACAATATGTAGATCCAATCATGAAGGAAGGATGTAATGTTAGTTAACAGCTTCGAATACTTGTGCTTATGTTAAAGTAACATATGAATAGGAAGATCTAAGAGGCAAGTGTATATTGTTAGTTAGCGACTGAGCTAATATTACCCAGTGTACTTTAAAATCATATTTAACATAGTATAAAACGTTTGATATTAAAACTAGTTATAACTAAAAATACGCTTCAATGTTAAGCCTGACTTGCCCGCATGTTAGGTAACATAATGTAACTATAACAGCTTTGCTAAAAGCACAAAGAGCAAAAAACTTTTATAATACAATCAAATCTAAGATTCACTCACACACACCCACACACTGGCTCAACACACAAATTGCCTTGCAAGCAGTTTATTAGATAACAGAAACTCTTCTACTCTGCAAAGTTCTTGGCCCATAATCAAGCCCAAGTGGGAGGCGGCGGCGGAGGCGTAGCTTCACAGTTGAAAAAATTCAAATTACAAGCCAAAAGGTTGAGACAAAAAACAGCAACAACAAAATGGCTGAGCAGCTGCCAAAGGCCAAAAGACCAAGAGACCAAAAGTTCGAGTCCTGAAAGAAAACCCAAGTGGAACCTATGAGAGAATTGCAAAGCGAACGCTTTCAAATGAAAACTTTTATGTAGGCGAGCGCAAGGGGGACGGGGTGGGAAAGTCAAGCAAGTGGAAATAGAAATGTTGAAAATTGTCGTTAAGTTTTATACTCGAGCTGAATTATCAACTATGTGGGATCTGTACTGTATAAAAAAATATATATAACAGTAGAATACAAAAGACAATGGCAGAAGAAGTGAGAAAAAATAAATGTGGCAGCTCAAGATATGAAAAAAAAAATGAAATAAAAAATAAAAAGAATAAAATATACTTTTAATAAATAATCTTCAATTAAAAAATTTTGCGAGGCAGTGTTGTCTAATGTATAAATTTACGGCAGCAAACAAACACACAGATAAGAAATTATTCATGAGGAAAGAGAAAGCATATTAAAAATTAACTGTGCATGCCCTTTGGAAGACGCAAAGCTAACCTTTTTTTATGAGTTGGCAACCCTGGCCGCAAGCACTCATTGCCCCCTAAAGTAATTCACCAAGGCGAATGCAAAATACAAAAAAAAGAGAAGGAAAAAACCACAGATTTATAACTGCAATGCGGCCAAGCGAAGCAGAACAAAAATTTTTAGCTAGTCGTGAAAATAAAGTAAAGACAATAAAAATATATAACATTAAGCAGGAATGCTGCCAAGGCGACGCCGACGGCAACGGCAGCGGCAACGGCAACGGCGACAGCGACGCCAGCGACATAATGAGCAGCCCAAACGGTAAAAATCAGACACAGCTGAGCCTGGCAAATGTGGGCCAAGCGGCAGCAGCAACAGCCAGGAGCACGAAAGTGAGAGAACGAGAGCGAGTCGTTGCTATTGGTTAGATTTTGCTTTGCGCTGCACATTCTTTGCAGTACCGTTAACGTTTTTCTGCGGTGCCGCTTTACATGGCCATTTGCTACACACACACACGGACGTAAGTCGAGGCGAGGCCAGTAACAAATACAGCTGCATACATCTGGGCGCGAGCTCTCTCTGCCTCTCACAAAAGTTTACCCTCTCGCACTCTCTCTATCTGTTATTCTCTCTCTGTAAGCTGCTAGTGCTTCTCCTACTGCTGCTTATGCGTCATTTTTTCATTCTTGTCCCATTGCTATCGCTTTTTCTTACCATCTTTATCACGCATTCGCTTTCGCTGCCAGCAATAACAAGAACAACAATATCATTATTGTTCTTGTTGTCCGTCAGCATTGCAGCATTTTACACAGCACGAAGAAAAAAATGTTATTTAGACTTTTGCTTGGCCTACGACGTTTTGCTGCTGCTCTTGCTCTTTCATTTTGGCTGGTATATTATTGGACGTTTTGCTTCAACCTCTTCACCTATTGCTTCTTCTTACTTGTTGCGCTGACGCTGACGCAGCTGACACTGCGGTTGCCTGTCCTCGCTGGCTCCCACTCTCATGCCCACACTCACTCTTTCTCTCTCTCTCTCTCTGTCTCTCTCATTCTATGCGAGTTGACTTTTAGCAGCTATTGCTGCGCTATGTTTGAACACTGTAAATCTGCCTGTCTGTGTGTGTGTATGTACGTGAAAGTGTGCAAGCGTGCATATGTGAGCGTGTGCCTGTGTGCTTTTTGGAGGTCTTTCATGTTACCTGCAAATTGTGCGTCACATAGCAGGGGAAATAGGCGTACGTTTGAATGGAAAAGGAGAACAAAAGTGAAAAAGGAATAGGGGCTGGATTTCAGCTATTTGGGTAACATATCATTTAGAAAATAACTATAAACTGACAAATAGAAAAGAGGACTTTACTAAAATGGACACATCAAAGCTGAAAATGTTTATGAATAGGGTATTTGAGAGCCTATTTGCTAAGTTATTAGTGTATGATGAGTCTTAGGATGAACATGAATATTAATAATACCATTGGATGATTAATGTTTATTTTATTATAGGTATACAATAAGTTTTAATAATATAAGTATTAATATTATATATATTAGTATAAGTATTAGTATTATTATTACTATAATTATAAGTGTCCATATAATATTAGTATAACTTTTCGTATATATTAAAATTACTTGTAGTATTATTAGTAGTTCTTAGATTGGGAATTTCTTTGATAGAATACCCTCTTTTCAGTACCCTTACTCGCTCGATGCAATAAAGCTTAAGCCAAACCGACTATGGAAATCTATTCTTTAAGTTTTCTCCACATTTTCTCAACTTTCCCACACACAATCTAACAAAACTTTTCGCACCTGAGGCCTATAATTCCGTACACCTCTTTTCTAGTAATTTTGTTTGTTGTCAGCGCTTTGTATGAAAGTTTACGCTTTGCCTTTTGTCAGGACACGCCCAGTTCCTCCTGCTGCTGCTGCTGTTGCTGCTGCCTCGATTCCATTTTCCATTTCCATTTCCATTTCTTGAAAGGCCTGTTCGCCTGGCAAACAAACATTCAGGCAAACGGAAATGCCCCTCCGCAACGTTTTGCAGTTGTAGTTGCTGCGTTGTTTCGCCTGTCGCAGCTATCATTCATGCCACGCCAGTTGACATAATGCGACACACGCCAGCCCCCCAAGTGCCCCACACACCCTCCGCACCCTAGACAACCAACCCCACCCCCTGCGGTCCCCCACTATCTGTGATCCTTCTGCAACAACTTTTTTGCAGGCAGGCAGGCAGCCAGCTAGAGCCAAGGTCCCAAATACAACTGAAGCCAACTGCCAAACACACACACACGCACACCCCTTCCCATGCCACGCCTCTTTGCACAACTTTGCATAGCACATCCAAACGCCCACGCGAGTGTGCCACACCCACGCCTAAAGGCGGCATACGCAATGCTATATTTAGCTCGCAAACTGCGATTTTATACCCTGTGCGAAAATAGTGCAGCAAAGGGTATGCTCAAATAGTTTGACTGCTTGTAACAGAAGCATTCAAGAGTCAGAATAGATGTATATATAGTATATAGTATATATAGTCTTGAATATTTCTTAAGCCATCATTAACAAATCAAAAATAATTGTGGCTTTACTAACTCCCTTTCTCTGTCTATCTCTCTCTCTCTCTCCATCTCTATCTCCCTCTCTATCTCCCACTCTTTCTACCTCTCTCTCAGTATCTCCTTTTCACACTACCTCTCTCTCTCATCTCCCTCTCTCTCCTCTCTCGCCCCTCTCTCTCCCGACATATTCCACAAACCCAAATCGGAAATAGATCAATCTAGATATTTCGAAGCTACTCTTATCTCTTCCACAACATTTTCTTTTCTTCACATATTAAAATTAATTTTTCCTGAATTCGAATAGATTTCTCTCGAAACAAACAACAAACTGTAATATTTATGGTTGTTACCTAGCAACCTCCATCAAGTAAGCCAGGCAACAAGCTTCGTTTTCCTAACAGCCAAAACGAAGGAACATAACTTAGTGCCCAAAAGGAAACACAAACATACACAATATAAAACATACAGGTACAATACAGAAGATATATACAAATGCACTTAAATATATACAAATAGGTATATACAAATATATCGATATATATATATGTAAAAATATATATATATAGATCTGGTAGCTGAGACCCAGAGATGCAGAACGTTGAGGCTTCTCTGGCAGAAGGTGAGTTTGGAGATTGGTATATTATGGAACCTATGTAGACTTGCATTCCAAACCGATTTCCATTCCGATTTCGATTTCGATTCCTCGCAGATTTCGCGCGTATTCGTGAAGTACAAGTTAACAATGTTATACGCATTTTGGAGGATTCGCTTGGCCGGATCAAAGTATCGCTTATATTGCCGCAAATGGTCTCCGATCTAGACACTGTCGAGCGGCAACTGCGCGGCACTGCCTATCAGCCGGCGATTGAGCTGTTGAGCAATGTGAAGAAATTGGGTACGGTCAATATGCAGCTGGTCGATAGCGAGATACTTAAGACAATCGATTATTTTCATCGAAATTTTGAGATGAATGAACTATTTCCACGCTTTCTCAACAATCTGTCGCCCTACGATAAGACCGTATTGGTGGCCTTCGAGACAATTCTGTCCGTCGCTCGTAGACAAATCGAGCGCACTTCGAAGGCCGAGATAAATATGGAGCGGCAGCTGTATGTCATGTACCGGGAACGAGAGGAGACCATGGCACGCAACGAGAAGTTCAGAAAGAAGCTCAAGTCGAAGTATGCGGCTCTGCGCTGGAAGCAGGGCGCCCAATTCGTAATATTGGAGAAGCATGAGAGCGATCTGGCCAACAAAAAGTGGAAGAATAATGTGAGGATTCAAAACGAAATGTGAGTCGAGTCGTCCGGGTTAGATGCCAGCTTCAGGTTTTCACACTTTCCACTCTTTTCTCACGCCACACAGTGAAAAACGCAGTCGCATGTTAAGAGATAATCACAAGCTTAGCCTGCTCAGGCAAAAGGAACTGGAGGAGGAGCTGGAACGTGCAGAATCTAAATACGAATTGCTAATCAAAAATAATGTGATTAAGGAAAAAGAAATACGCGGTGAAAAGTAAGTAAAAGGCTCGAAGCTTTATAGCCCATGAAATAATTATATATTTGATCTATAGTTATTTCATGGGCTATAAATTTGTAACTTAGTTTCTTAAACGAAGATAAAAATCCTTTTGAGCAGATATACCTATTCTTCTGCTTATCTAATACCTCTTTCGCTATTCTGTCGCCCTACAGAAGCAAGCTGCTGATCCAGCTCGAGAATATACTTCGCAAATATGACACCAGTGTCAGTGACAAGTTGCGCGAAAATCTCGAACTGGAGGATATGTATAAGGTGGCGAAAAAGCAGTTGGATGAGTTTATGGTACAGTATCGCAAGGAGGAGGCAGTCTACAAGAACATTGTTGTCAAATACGAAAAGGAGGAGCAGCGCAAGCAGCAACAGCGAATCATGATATACATGATGAATCGGGCGGCTCGCAAGATCCAAAGATATTGGCAGAAATGGCGAAAGGATCAGCTAAAGAAAGCACGCAAGGCTAGGAAGAGCAAGAAGAAGTAAACTGATTAGATTATATATTGGATTTGTATATTTATTAAATTAACACTCGAAGAATCTTGTAATATGCAAAGTTTTTCACTTTTCTAACATAAACTAGTCTCGACATTACTTTGAGACGAGGTTTCCTTTTCAGTTTCATAGCTATGAAGTCGATTTCATCATATGTTAGGTTAGGTCGAAGGATCTCCTACAGTAAAAGTTTACTGATGTTAGCAGCTGGAAAGATATTTTTACCTTTATTTCCCTATCTAAAAAGTTAAAGAAAAGTGTATATTCAGGATCTGAAGTATCATACATTTCTTTATATATGTATATCAAATAAAACTCCATTTAAGTCCTTTACCACATATCAATACCTACACATTATTTTTTATTTCCGGCACTTTTGGCCACATTCCTCACATTTCGCTCATTTTTGACTTTAGGCGTTGAATTAAACGCTTAGCTTTCCATAAAAATAGCTTAAATGGCCTTTTTTGTCAGCTTCTAGTGGAACTTATTGAAGGCCCCGGGACGCACTGAGGAAATCACCTTTTAGTGGCTCCATTAAAAGACCATCATATATACCCAACGTAATTGCCAGCGTTTATTTCGCTGACAATTAGCGGGCTCACACAGAGAATTTTCTGGCTGTTTTATGGCTAGATGTGCCCTCGTAATTAGCTTTTATTTTACTCACATACCCAAAAAAAAGAAGGAAGCAAAATGTTAATGCTTAATGCCCTGTGGTGCAATTTGATGGTTTCAGAAGTTTTGCACTAGGAAAAGGAAATTTATAACCTCACAAAGTTAGGCTAAGATAATAGATTAATATACATTATGTCATCAGCTGCCACAACTATCACTGGAACTCCATAAAGTTGGGAGATGAACTAAATAAATTTACGTTTGGTATATACATATAAAATAATAATAATAAGCCTTATAAGAGTTAGGATAATATATATCCAATCCTGATTTTGCTTTCTATTGTCTTCTATAAATAAACGCTTATAAAAAATTCTATTCAAATAGATGAAAATGCAAATAAACCAAACTTACACTCCAAAGTTATTTAAGCTTATAAAATTTTAACGGATTCATGTTTATGCATAAGCCCCATAAAAAACAACTGTAAATGAAGAGGCGAACAAATGAATTTTCAGCAAGTTTGAACGCATTGCGACGAAAGCTTTGACAAGTCACCGAAAGGAAGGAGAGAAAATGGTTTTTGGCTTTGGGTTTGGACTCTGGCTGCGGCTTGTAGGGCTTCGCTGGCTTGCAAAATGTTTACCCAACATACACACACACATGTATGCACTGACTGACGGACGTAGAGCGAAAGACGTCCCTAACCGAATTTCATGGCGAAAAATGGCGCATTGCTGTCGTCGCCGTCGCCATCACCAATGACGACGTCAGCGTCGCAGTCACCGTTACCATCGTCGTCGCCGTCGCAGTTGCTGCATTGTTACTTCATTTCTGTGCCCTTTCCCGCTTGTTGGCTCTCTTTCTCCTCCTCCTCCTCCTTGTCTAATTTACAGAGGTTAACATACTTAACTTGTTGGCATGCGTTGAATTGGACGACAACTGCGCCAAAAGAAAGAAAAAACACATTGCGACAATTTGCTGCGGCAAAAAAAAGCAAGGCGAGTACAAAATCGAGGGGTAGAAACTGACCAAAAGAAAAGTCCAAAAATCGAACCAATGCAACAACTTTTACACATGTACATGAAAATGTATGGGTATAACAGCATAACATAACATAAGAACATACACATAAACACACATGTCTATTTGAGCTTAAAACCAATATCAAAAGCTAAGTTTATATGCATTTCTGTGTACAATATTGGACTTTTAAGATAGTCGGCGTAGAGCAAAGATCAGACAGTAAGAAGAAATATTTTTAGCCCGAATTCTACTCATTGCAATCACAATCCTATGTTATATACAATTGGATGTTTTATTTTACCATAAATACCAATAAAAATTTAAACAATTCCAATTAGAAGATTCTTAGTTTTTTCACACAAGGGCGCCGGCGCGACTGTTTGCAAAAATTGTCCTCAAAATTTCTTTTCGCATTGGCCCTTTTTTTGCGTTTACGCAAAGCAGAAAACATGACAAAAACGAGAAAACGCAATGGAGAGCGCAACTGAGCCGTTTCGCTCCACAACCGTTTCGCTCAACTGCTTGCTTTGCAGCAGTGCGAGCGTAAACTAACAGCAGTTATGTTAGTTAGCAGAGCCACTGAGCACAACAGCGGGGCTAGCAGCTCACTTGAGCAGCGTCGTGAGCGAATGCAGCTCATTTGAGCAGCTAACAGCCCCCACTTAACATTATCTTTGCAGCCGAACAACAGCTGAACACCACGAATTTATTGTAGTACGCTAACGGTTTTTAAACGGTACAGTTACAATTGAGTTGTCAACCGTTACGGACGCAAGTTCTGATTAAGATCGTGAGTTACCCACAATAGCAAAATTATAAAAAAATATATATAAATTATAAAATACAAAACCCAACAAAGTTGCAGAGGGAACCTTTAGTCAGGCGAAAAATCTTCTAAAGCAACTAGCCCACACAAAATTCACTAAAAATCAAATGTATTAAACAAATATAAATATTTGTATAAACCGAAATCGAGCAATTTGCATATATATTAACGAGTGTGCGCGCGTGTGTTTCGCCATTATATCGCACAATAGAAAAACCAAAAGAAATAAATACGCAAGAAAAAAATTTGTACAAAAATTCGGCAGAGCAACAAATAGCAACAAGAAATTTGCCACGGCAAAAGATAAAAAAAAGAAGAAAATAAGCAGTGTCGCTGCCAGCGGCGACGTCAACGTTAACATTTTTGTCGCCTCTTTTTTTTGCCTCACTTCATTCTTTGGTTTCCTTCATTTCATTTGTGTTCGGCGCCGGCAACGACGCTGCTTTAGTTCTTGGAGTGTGCGAGTGTGTGCGTGAATTTTTTTGCTACTGTTGTTGCTCCGTTTTATGTGCATTATTCTCAACATCTTCTTCTTCTCGATCTTTTACAGTGTGTTATTAAAGTAAATTTGCTTAAAACGCAAATCAATTTACAAGTTAAACGTTGAACGCGCGTCGTCCACGTAAATTCCACTCACACATACCAACAACAGCAAAAAGTCGCCGCCAGCAGCAGCAGCAGCGGATTAACCTTTAGCTACATTTCTTTCCAAACACAACTACAAAAACCCATCAACAAAAATGGTAAGTTCATAAATTTTCCCCACTTTTTTCGGCTCTCTCTCTCTTTCTCACTTGTGCATTGTTTACACAAAATATTTCCATTGAAATTTCAACAATTTGGCGAAATCTCAAAGACACAAAGGTTAAAATTGAACATGTGTTCTCGTTTGCGTGTGTATGTATATATGCCAGTATGAATTACTTGCTTGTCCAATTGGATTACATTTGATCCTTAGCCCTGCAGCAGCTGCCGTGCTGAAATGCATCCCTTTGGTTCATATGACTGAAACTGGCTTTTCTGCCTGCACAGTTTTTATTTTTAATTTTTTAAAAGCTGAGGGTTAGTGTTCTAGTGACTCACCTTTGCGTAGCGTCAGCAGAGAAAATAATTTTCTTTATCATCTTAGACGGCGTTTTTTATATTTTTTAGACTTGATAAACATTATCTGTAACTCGATTTTGCATAAACAGTTGAGTTTGTATATTTTAGTTATTAATACAAATATGTTTATATATACATGTATAAACAAATAGTTTCGAAAAATGCATTAAAAAATTGTGTATATTGTTTTTTTGTTATAAAAAAATGTTTATAAAAATGTTTATAAAAAATAAAAAAATAAAAGCTATATATTTGTATACATTACCATTTATATTATTTATTAAAAATAAAATATATGAATTCCACTAGAAATTTTGAATAATCAAAAATAAAATATCAATTATTATTTAAATTGATTTTTGCACCGAGTTAAAAAAACATCAATTTAATGCTTATAGGAAATTTGAAATAAAATAACGATAAATAATATTATTTCTTTTTATATGTTCGTACGGTATCAACAAATACTGTGAAATATGTCTGAATACTGGGAAATTTATATATACCTTTATAATTTAGCAACTGCAAAAGAAATATTCAAGGCTAATAATTCTCACACAACTAAAGTTCAAGCTAGTATTATCCAAAGGGTGCAACTGACGAAACATGTTTCGCTCGCTTAGCACCGCCCCACCCCATATTAATTAAACTTTAAGGCAGGCAGAAAATAGTAAAGCAACACAAAAAAACTCGTTATCAGCAACGCGCTGTGGTGCGCCCCTCGCGCTTCTCAAAAGGCGTCGCAGCGGCTCGGTTTCCAGCTGTATCACAGACAGACACACACACACACACACACAAATATATGAACTCATAAAAACTATATATACGTATATATATACTTGTGCATTGCCTAGTGCAGCAGCAAAAAAATGTGTTGCCAATCGGCACTTTATCAACATTTATTTGCACTCATAAATACAAGGCAAATTGTGAGAGAGAGCGCTGATCATCAGTATCAGCAACAACAGCAGTAGCTGTAGCAACGCTTCCAGCAGCGCCACCGGCATTTTTTTCTTTACTTGTTTCTTATTGTATTTCGTTTCGCTTTATTTACCGCGAAAATTGAGGTTAGATACGCTTGACGTGTGGAAGAAAAAATATAAGCAAAAATAAGAAAAGGCAACGGCGAAAATTCTTGGGCTTTTGGAATTCTTACTGGTCGTTGCTTTGTCGCGTTTCGTTGGCTTGCTCAGTTTAACCGTTTCGTATGCGCGCAGCAGCTAGTTCACTCTCCCACACTCTCTTGCTCAGTAATAACCGTTTCACACAGTTTTGCGCCTGGTTGCGTTTGGCTTCGTTTCGTTTCGTTTCTCTCGCTCTGCACATTTGTTATCAATCGTATTTCGCACTGCGTCGCTTTTGGCTCTCTGGCCGCGCACTTTTATCTGCGTGCGCTTTCTTTTGCGTTTTCGCAGTCGCTCACGCTCTCTCACGTTCTGACTCTCGCTG